GGTCAGAGACCTGAGGGTCATGTGTCCATCCTCATGGATTTGGATTAACTCAGAAGAAAATGAAACAATGTATCAGAAATAACACAAGTATTTCACTGGGCAGTTTAAATTCATTCATTTCTATATTTACAACAAAAAAAAGAAGGTCAGAAAAACAAAACCGAATTTACTTTTTAGAGAGAAAGTGTAAATTTGAATTAAATCTTTGTGAAAGTGTCGGTTTGGTAGAAATTGAGTCAGTTTTGTTGAGCTGGTTCTCTCGGTGTCATTAAATTCTCTGGATCTCAAACAGCTTGACATCAGTGTCGTACCAAACAGGAGGATCCACGTTACTAAAACAAGAAGAAAAAAAAGCATCTTTAATCAGGTTTTATGAGATTTTTGCAGATTTCAACACATAAATACATACAAAACAACACATTGATCAAGTCCTAATAAAAGGTATAATATATGTGACTTTCTATGCCGAGTGTAATTTTGAGTGTAGCTCCCACATTGTCCCGTAGAGGAAGACAGAGCGCAGGACTCACCGTAAGTAGATGATGCCCCACATGTATGTGCGGAACCACAGAGCCGTGCCCTCATTGGCCTGGTACTTGCGGATGAGGATGGGATGAGGAACCGGCAGCAACCCCACCAGAGTCCCGTGCTGCAGAAACTTCAGGATCTCAGACTCGTCCGTCAAACCTCTACAAGAACAGCAAGAGCATCCTCACTCAGTCAGGTCAAACCGCAAAGCGTAATACACATGATTCAGGGTTCAAAACCACACCAAAAATCTGGCATTTAAAATTTAAACTAAATTAAATTAAAACCTGTTAACCCGAAATCTGTTAAAATCAACATGACAGAATGTTGCATGATTTCTAATAATGCAACATTATTGTTTCTCTGAAAGAAACAGGATATTTAATGAAAAAAAAAAAAAACTAATATTATTAACTACTGTAACAATAGGCAATACATTTGTTACAGTATTTATTAATCTTTGTTAACATTAGTAAATAAAAACAATTAGTAATTGTTATAACAGATATAATGTTCTCTGATTGACTTATTGTATTTGTAAATGGTGAAATTAGCATCAGCTAAGATTAATCAATGCTTTAGAAGTATTATTAGTCTTTGTTTATGTTAATTAACACAGTTAATGAAACTAATGTTAACAAATGGAACGTTTATGTAAAGTGTTACTGATAAACTCTTTCAGTGA